ATCGATTTGTTAGGAGATCGTGCACGACCCCCAGTCTGGATGTTGTCTCGAAGCTCCTTCAACGATCCCCAGCTTTCCTTGACAAGCGCTTTTCCTCGATTCTCGGGTAAAGCATCACCGATACGATCCTTTGGAGGATTCTTGAACTTGGGGAAATCCGCGCTGCGGTGGGGCTTTTCCAGAGGTTCGGGATCTGAAATTGACGAAGGTTGGAGAGCAATATTACCTGCTTTTACCTCAGGCGTTGATTCGGCCTTTGGCATCCAAACTCGTTCGGATCTCGGCGATCTCTTAACGGCCTCTCCCTTTAGCATTTCTCGTGCTTTTTGGACCAGGGCTCGGGCATGCGCACGCAAGGCGCGGCGCTTCTGGATTCGCTCCTCGAGAGTAGAACGGGTTCTTCTGACATGAACCCATTTGTTCGTTTCTGCTTCGGAGGAGGGGCTGGTTGTTTGCCGTTGTTGCTCCTGGCGTTGCCTGGATTTTAGATCCACGTTATAGCGGATCCCATCCATTGGCTCCAAAGCCTCGGCCAGCTGTCGAGCAAGACGTTGACGCCGTCTTTGTCGCGCTCTCTTTGATAATGCTGGAGCGTCTTCAGAATCCATCTCCTCGGTGGAAGAGGAATCCGGATCTGCGATCTCGACCAGGTTGGACGACGTGGGGACGTCGCGTGGTGCAAGTGCAGAGGCGGCAACGGGGTCTTGGATTTTTGAACCGAAGGACCTGCAATCATTTATGAAAGAGGTTACCTTTCTGTACCCGTTTGGAGAGGCGGATCTGGAGGAGGAGGAAGAGAGGCCTTCTTTGAACCGTTGTTGATCGAGCTCGTGTTCTTCATTCACCCCGATCTTGAGTGCTGGTTGCGTCACGACGGCGTCGGTTGCGATGCCGTTGGCTCCCACTGTGGTCGCCAGCTTGTTTGCGGAAAAAGTTGCTGTATTCATTGCTGCATTCATTACAACTTCAATCGTTACAATGAAATAAAAAGATAGCCTTTTTATAAGACCGGTACACAATGAAAACAAAAGAAATACAACTCTTTTCAAACAAACGCAAGATCTGTTTGTCATCTCTTGCTTGCGTGGGTCTTTTGCCTGTGACGGGGATGTTGATATCCGTGGACCACCGGGGCACTCAGATCTGGTCCGAGAAAATCGGGCAGAGCTTCGTCTATCCGCGGAGGGATTTAGAAACTTCTGATCCCGAAAAATCGGACAGAGCTTCGTCGATCCGCGGGGGATCTAAGAAGCTATGAAGCTTATATCTCGGCTAAAGCGAGACACCAGCTCTACTTAGTATCACCGCTAAGGGGCAATACTAAGGAAAAGAAAAGGGGGAATGAAGAAGAAGGCTCCTTTGCTGCAGAAGGCTCGCTCACTCCTCGATCCGGCAGGGCTTCGCCGCTCTCTTAGAAAACCCCGACTCCTTCCTCCGGCAGGGCTTCGCCGCTCCTCTCTGGAATTTCAGATCTCAAAGGCTAGAGCTCTAGATCTGAAATTCCTCTCCCAAAACCAAGGCCAAGAGAATGGAGGCCCTAGGGGCCTATTTATAGGAAAAGCAAGGGGTAGGGGGCTGGTTGAGGACACCCGCCGAGACACCCCTTGGGTGTCTTGGTTTTGCCAAGACACCCCTCGGGGTTTCGAGCTTGCCGAGACTCCATTTGAGGTGTTTTGTTGGTTCCCCTGTATATTCTTCGTCCGGATTCGGATTTGAGTGATTCCGGGTGCGTTGGATGCGCGACGAAGAGTTTGACCCGCTCTGGTGATTGGATTATCTGTAGAGTGGTCGAGGCATGAAGGGCGTTGTCCTTTTTGTGAACAGTGCCGGGCTTCCCGATTGGTCCGGGTCTTCGTGATTCCGAAGTCCTATCCGCTCATGTAACTCGTCGATTCACTTCAGTCGTTCGTCGACGTCGATTAGGCTCATGTGGATTGGATGGTGACGTTCATCGTCGCTCGTTAACACTGAACCGGTTGTGGAGAACTATAGGCAATTTTTGATGCCTACACAAATAATCACAGAGTTCGGTCGACCTAACCTACATCTCCGCTCCTCACCCTCGAGGAGAATCCCCACCATCTCATAATACTACACAATCGATTTTCAACACTCACCGATAAACGTTTACAACTCACACAATTGTTAATACACAATACACTCCTGTAAGTATTGGCCTAGCTCGTGTCACCTTCCTCAAGTGCTCGGAATTACTACATCTCCCTAGGATTTACAACCGACACCACTCCTCTTGGAATTGACCTCGTCTCTTACCAACCATTTCTTTAAGTATCCTTGTGTATTACAATGTGTTCTCTCAACAATAAGGCACTAATATAAAGGATTTGTTCTCTAACAAGAATGGGAACAAAATTAAGCTCACACTCAATGAATCACTCACCACAACTCAAATTATACTTAATGTGAAATACTAAAAGCTCAATAGGTTGTGTGTGCAATCAATAAATAAAATAAAATATAAAGTCAATTTAAAATCTAGCTTATAGAAATGATAACCAAACATATAAATAGCTAGAGATTGAGTTTAGAAAAACTTCTCTAAGGACAAGAGATAGAGATTTAAAGATTGATGCTCAAAACCGAAATGATCTCCTCCTCTTTCTGAAGCTCTCTTCACATAAATAAACACGCTAGATTTTTCTTTAAAACTCTTAAACAAACTTGCAAACTTTGTTTTAAATTATTTTTAGGGTTCATGCAAATAAAACCTGAGGGCTATTTATAGGCTCTCAATACAACAACCCAAAAACCAAGGAAAAACAAAAACCAGACAAAATCCCTCAAAAATAGGAATCTGGAAAACTAACCGTTATTGCAAAAAAAATCCCTGATCAGCCGACTGAACAATAAAATTGGTCGACTGATAAGATAACCGTTGACAACAGTTCTGAAAAACAACACTCCATCGGTCGACTAATAGAAGCTATTGGTCGACTGATGAGATGGTTCGGTCGACTGATGGACATCGGTCGACTGAGCAGAAACAAATTAGAAAACCCAGAACAGTTTATCGGCTGACTGATGCAAGCCTATCGGTTGACTGATAAGCTACTTCGGTCGACTGATAGGAATCAGCCGACTAAGCAAAAACAAACGATAATTCCAAAGCAGTTCTTTGGTCGACTGATGATCCTTGTCAGTCGACTGAAATCATGTAGAGAGACTTGTTTGAACAGTAAAATTAAATTTCAAATAAAGTGCATTTAAAAATAGCAAACAAATTCCAAAAATTATAAAACTTGGGGAAATATTTATAAACATGAATATAAACATGTTAGAAAAGAAATTTTTAAAATATCATTTCCCATTTGTGAAAACCCATCATTTTGCAAAATCGGTCAAAATACAAAATCTCAAAACACTTGATTTTGGACAAAATAATTTCAAAACAAGTTTGAAACTTCTTTTGAATAGATTAATGGCCTTTATAAAAGATGTACAATATTTATATTAAATCTTTGATCCAAAGCATATTATTTTGTAAATCGGTAAAACACGCTAACTTGTTAAAAGTTGATTTTTGATGCAATCAATCCAAACAAGTTTTGAAACACTTTTCAGTAGACTAATAGACTTGAGGAAATATATAAAATAGTGTAAACAAGTTTTTAATCCATAAACACATTATTTTCAAAACAAAGATGATAAATATGAAACGAACGTATATGTATATCAATATATCTATTGTTTCATATTTATACGGTTAAACTTAAAAACGATAAACTGAAAACGTGTATGTGTGTAATATTTGAGCTCTAAGTATAAACACACAAAATATAGACCTAAAACACTATACCCAAGCAATAGGTCTTCAATGTAGCTCATCTTGGTTGCGGATGAAGCGATAATGAGTTTGACTTGAATCACAACGGCTTCATTCCAATTTCCACCAACCTCCTTTGAATGTGATTGTGAAAGCGCAAGTTCATCCAACCTCCAACGGAGGATCTTTGTGTAGAATACCTAATAAGAAAACACAAACACTCGACAAACAATGTTAGGAATTGTTTGTTAATCATCAAAATTAGATTAGATAGTAGGCACATAAACATGAAACCTATAACACAAGTAAGCTTATAAATTTGGAGGGATCTAATAAGAATTCCAATAAGTTGAGCACTATGTCCAAAATATTTAGACATTTATTTAATATTACACATATCAAAATCTTATTTTGAAATTGAATTGAGGGAGGTTTAAATATAAACAATGATAGTAAATTTAATAAAAATTAAGGAATTAAAACTTCTCGAACTAGCATGTGAGTGCGAAATGAGATGGTGAATTCTTATGTTTGCGAAATAAAGGTAAAAAAATAAAATAAGTGAGAGTACATAAGTGCAAACTCCTTTCAAACGAGCACGTGATTTCCACACGCTATTTCTTCCCCTGGAGTGTTGAGCTTATTTCTTGTTCTCTTCCGCTCCCCCGAAAGAGCATATTCATTATTCCCCCCACGTTTAGTACTACAGTGACACTTTTCGTACCCCTCCATCTCTCCTTCGTGGTCCACACAATTTCTTACACCTTTCCAAATCAACATCCACACTCCCCATCGAAAACCATGTGCGCCTCAAGATTCCGTTTTTGTTAAATTTCACATAACTCCCTCAACTTTGAGACATCTCACAGGATTTCTCTAAACTTTAACATTTTCTTTTTAGACTCCCCCTATCTATCTCTAATTATAATACGATTGGGAATAAAAATCTCAAAATTTTGAATTTTTTTGTTGTTGTCATTTATTGGAAACATAATATCCCCCTCTACTAACTTTTAGATTTCATTTGCAAACCACTTCTAAGGGAATTCTATGAGAAGTTCAAAGTTTAGAGGAACTCCGTGGGGCATCAAAATTCAGGGGGTTTATGTAAATTAAACAAAGTCGATGTGATTCATGTGCTAAACCACCAAACTTCAGGGGCTCTTGTGAAATTAACCCTTGCCCCTTTCCTACAGCTATCAATACCTCGGCTCCCTAAGTTCTCAACGTCCCGAAAAAAAACCAACAAAAAAAGGAGGAAAGAAAGGGGGAAAAAAAAAGGGGAAAATGGCGAATATTGACATAGAGGGATTACTGAAGGACCAGCTGCTGGTTGACGGCGAAGGGAGAGCGAGGATGCCGAAGACCAAGATCGTGTGCACGCTGGGCCCCGCGTCTCGGTCGGTGGAGATGATTGAGAAGCTGCTGAGGGCTGGGATGAATGTCGCCAGGTTCAATTTCTCGCATGGGACGCATGAGTATCATCAGGAGACTCTTGATAATCTTAGGATTGCGATGCATAACACTGGGATCCTTTGTGCTGTCATGCTCGACACCAAGGTGAAGGAAAAGGCCAAAATGTTCGATTAATTTATTCTATGAAATTTATTGGGTTAATAAGCTACAAGATTTACTCCAAATTGGGGGCTTATGTTGATGGTATTAATACGTGGGTGTATTAATACGTGAGTATAGTCCCATGTCGGATAGGATAGGAAGGAAAGAGTTATGAATTTAAAATAGGAGTTGGACTCAATGCTTAGTAGTTATAGCTTTTAGAGCTATGAATTTAAATTAGGAGTTGGGACCGATGCTCAGTAGTTATAGCTTTTAGGTTAAAATTAGTTCCTAGCATCTCTTTATACAGTTTTTAATTGATGGAATGAATATACTGCTTTCAAATTTGCTTGTGATGTAACTTTTAGCCAAGTTTTGAAACTAGGGGCTTATTTGGCAACTCCTTCAATAACTTGGATAAATGTATTAACTTGGATAAGGATGTATAATGTATTTGACAAAAAATTGTAGAAGATGGAACTAGTTCTTTTTTTAAAAAAAAGAGACTTGTTATCTTTGGACCACCTCTATCTTGGTTCAATCCTAGACCGGTTAAGACCTTAACCGGATTAGCATGAAGTTGCCAAACACACCTAGTAGTTAGCGAGAGTTCTGTATTTTGGGTTTTTTTTATATACTTAATCTGAAATCGTACTTGATCTGAGTCAAACCTTTTCGTGGATGTTGGTGTGGTAAACTGTTACGAACCGTCAAATAATTACATTACATGAAAAGATATCTAAGATTGCCTTGATGCATAAAGAGTAGTATAATAACTTCTGTAATATATTTAAGAGTGTCTTGATGTACAGAGAGTAGCATGTTTGGTATATTTTGTTGTTGTATAGTACAGTGGGAGGGAACTCAAATGTGTACTCCTTTCACTCTTGAATCATTTGAACCATGTTCATGTTCCTCGTTTATTGAATATGAATTGTGAGTTTAATAGCTGAATTGTGATTTTAGCAAAATGAATATTAAATCCGAACTCTTGACAATATCCTTATCAGGGTTGGTATTTGGTAAGAGAGAACAAATAAACAACATGTAGCCAGAAAAAGACTTAAAATCCCTGAATAAAAAACAAAGGGGAGGAGGTAAAGGAGCAAGGGAATGAGTGGAGGGTTGCTTTCCTCCCAGTATGGGCACTTGAAGCAAACACGGATGCTCATTTCTGTTGAAACTAATCCAAATTCAATTAGGTTGTCATTAGTAGTTAGTTCTATCCATAAAAGTTTAGTTCTACTAGGAATTGGTTCATATATCTTATCTATAATATTTAGTTATTTTATCTTTAGACGTTCATGTCATATTGGAATTCTTGTAAAATTAGATTGCTAAATTACTTAAGCAGTTACTGTAGCAAGTTGCTGTAACCGAAAATTATTAAGCCTGAGATTAACAAAATCTTGTTTGCTTCTCCCTACAACCCTTCATATACTTTATATGTCTATTTGAGTTTTAATAGTGTTTTTGATCCAACAATAGTATCAGAGCCATGAAGAATCTAAGCGGGATGACGTCGCTTTCTATTCCTATATTGGATGGGAAGAATTATCACCGATGGAGAGTGCAGATATAGGTGTTGTTTGAATATCGAGATAAATTAGGTGTCGTAGTCACAAATAGCGAAGTGAAGTCGAGAATAAAGCCCATAATGAGATTAAGAAGAAGGATCGAAAGGCGTTATTCTTCATCTATTAAGGAGTTAATGATTCAGTTTTTGAGAAGATCAACGAAGCAACTACGGCAAAGCGTGATATGTTTCCAATAAAGCGTGATGTTTTATTAGCTACAAGTCCGGAGGCTACAAACTCTACAATCCTGCTACAAAGAAGGTGATTGTAACCATAAAGCGTGATGTTTATTTTTTCCTACACACCTCAACATAACGGTGTCGTTGAAAGGAAAAACAAGACCATACTTGACATGGCGAGAAGCATGCTGAAGGTCAAAGGTATGCCAAATTATTTTTGAGGTTGAAGCTGTCTCATGCACTGTTAATTTGTTGAATAGGTCATCAACAAAGAGTCTTGATAATCTCACTCTTGAAAAGGCGTGGACTGGTTATAAGCTAAGTTTAAGACATCTCAAAGTGTTTTGTTCCATTGCTTATGCTCATGTTCTAGTAGAAAAAAGAAAAAAAACTTGATGATAAAGGCGTGAAGATAATTTTTATTGGCTATAAGTCCGGAGGCTACAAACTCTACAATCCTGCTACAAAAAAGGTGATTGTAACTAGAGATATTATGTTTGTTGAAGAAGAAACTTGGAATTGGGATCTAGAAGTAACAACAATTTATGACGTACTCTCCTTGATATTTTTAAAGACGGTGTCCCTGTTGTAACTGAAGAAGCACCACTAGCCTATGCTCTTGAAGCTCCAAACTCCACAAGTTCCATTAGAAGTTGAAAGACCAAGAAGAAATTGTCAACCATAAGTTCTTTTGAGGGATTATGAAGTAACTCCAGATGATAATATTAATGCAGATGGAGATATATTGCACTTTGTAATGTTTATAGATTGTGAGCTAGTTTTGTTTGAAGAGGCTATTCAAGGTTCTAAGTGGATAAATGCAATGAAAGAAGAGATAAAGTTGATAGAGAAGAACAACATGTGGGAGTTTACTAATATCCCGTAAGGACATAAAGCAATCGATGTGATGTGGGTTTTTAAGACAAAGATTAAGGGAAACAGCGAGGTTGGGTTGTATAAAGCATGATTGGTGGCGAAAGGCTACGAGCAAATGCTTAGTTATGATAACCAAGAGGTATTTTTTCCTATTGCTAGAATTAAAACTGTTAGACTAATAATTGCCTTGGCTACACGGAAGCATTGAAATATTCATAAGATTGACGTGAAGTCAGCTTTTCTTAATAGGCTACTTGAATAAGAAATTTTCGTGAAGCAACCACTTAGATTTATGAAGAAAGAGTGCGAGTATAAAGTATACAAGTTGAAGAAAACATTGTACGGGCTAAAGCAGGCGTCGCGAGCATGGACCAAAAGAATAGATTTTTTTTCCAGTAAAGTGGATTTCAGAAGTTCCCCGAGCATTCCTTACATGTGAAGGTAAACAATTCTGGTGATATACTACTATTATCCATTTATGTTGATAACTTGATTTTATTGGCAATAACATCAGTATGATTGAAGAGTTTAAGAAGTTGATGACGCATGAATTTGAGATGATAGATCTTGACTTGATGTCTTATTTTCTTAGTATTGAAGTGGTTCAAGACGATGATGGGATTTTCATATGGAAAAAGAGGTATTGTGCAGAGTTATTTAAAAGGTTTCAGATGTTTGATTACAATCTTATTAGAATTCCTGTGATGGTTGGTACTAAATTATCTCGAAAAGGTGATGGTGCACAAGTTAATCCTATTTATTTCAAGTAAATTGTTGGGAGTTTGAGATATCTCACATGTACAAGTCCAAATATAGCTTATGGAGTTGGTCTAATCGGTAGATGTTTGGAGGTCCCTTGCCAATCTTATCTATAAGTTGCAAAGATAATTATGCGGCACCTAAATGGAACTTATGATCATGGTTTATTTTATTCTTCATCTAACAATTGTGATGTTGTAGGCTATTCTGATAGTGATTGGAGTAGAGTTCATGATAATCGCAAAAGTACTTATGGCTATGTTTTTAATTTTGGTTCCACCGCATTTTCATAGTCGTCGAAAAAGCAGTCCATTGTTGCACTCTTAGCTTGTGATGCAGAGTATGTAGCAGCTACGTCGAGTGCTTGTTAAGTAAATTGGTTGTGTAATGTGCTAAGTAAAATTCATATTCAAGTTGAAGTTCCTACAAAAATTTATGTCGACAATAAGTTCACAATTGATTTGGCGAAGAATCCAGTCATTCCTAAAAGGGGCAAGCATATTTATACTTATTACCACTTTCTACGTGACAATGTTCAGAAGAACGAGATCATGTTGATTTAGTGCAAGTCTGATGATCAAGTTGTAGACATCCTCACAAAGTCCTTGAAGTTTGAAGCATTTGTCAAGCTGAAGCACATGATGGGATTGAAGAGTTTACATAATTTGGATTAAGGGGGAATGTTGAAACTAATCCAAATTCAGTTAGGTTATCATTAGTAGTTAGTTCTATCCGTAAAAGTTTACTTCTACTAGGAATTGCTTCATGTATCTTACTTATACTATTTAGTTGTTTTATCTTTAGAAGTTCATGTCATATTAGAATTCTTGTAACTTTATATCGCTAAACTATTTAAGAAGTTACTGTAGCAAGTTACTGTAGCCAAAAATAATTAAGCCTGAGATTAACACAATCTTGTTTGCTTCTCCCTACAACCCTTCATATACTTTATATGTCTATTTGAGTTTTAATTGTGTTCTTGATCCAACAATTTCCTCTCTTTGAGATAGAGAGGGAAAACTTCAAGGTTCAACTCCTTTCAGTGCAAAATCATTAAGCATGGTACGTTATATATGTTTAGTATCCTGTTTGAACCAGGTTTATCAAAATATGAATTGTAAGTTATCTGTTGGGGATTGGAAAAGCCAAATTAAGGAGATGGACTATGCTAATCTACTTGGATCCAATGGACTCAAAAGGATTAATCCTTTTCAGTTCATGAGTCCAAGCATATTTAATTATCTATCCATCTAATTCTCTTTCCGATGTGAGACCAATTCTCGCACCATCCCTTTTCCAAAACCGAACCCATAAACCGAATGAATGTGACACACCCTATAATTTGCACCTTGGCTCCAATCTAATCAAGTCTAACTAGAGCCCAGAACATATGGCTAACTCGAGACCAGAACATGATTGGCTAACAGAGATAGCCTCTCAACCGCTTCATAGACAAACAAAGTCACACCAGAGCCAAATGTGACAGTATGTGCACTCAATTGAGCCTGAACCTGTTCTGGACCAAGTAAAACTAGAGGGAGTTATAATGCAACATCATGTGCACTCCACCTTGAGCTATAATCTATGCAGTAGAATCTCGAGCAGAGCATCCAATAAACGTCTATCCAACCATGGAGTCTGATACCAATTTCTTTTGGATTGGAAAGGCCCATTAAGGAGATGGACTAGGCTAATCTATTTGGACCTAATTGACTCAAAAAATTAAAGAGAGTCAATTAAGTCCAAGTAGATTAGCCTTGTTCATCTTCTTTAATGGGCCTTTCCAAACCCTAACATTGTCCTAAGTAGGTTTTATCAAAATGGATACTAAGTTCAATTAATGAAATATCCATATCGAGTATCTGTATTTGCGACAACAAAACAAATACCAATATGGAAATGCCAAGTTTTCTCTGAATCTGATCCATTCATGTTCCAATAGATATGCGCAGTATGTGAAACACCTGATGATAAAGGAACCAACATAGGAAGGAGGTGATCTGAGATAAGCAAGTGATGGATGGCTTTCTTTCCTCCCAAAACTAGTATTTGCAAAAAATGTGGACATGAGTTACCTCTTATCGACATAAGGGAAGGCAAAAGAAAGAATTTTGTCACTCATCAAATATTCAGATAAATGTAGTAAACCATGAAATTAATCATTAGTAAATTAACAACAAAAACCAGGATTTATAAGTTGAATTTTAGTATTTTATACCACCTTCATAAGCCGTCAACAGTTTCTACTAACCTTTAATTTTAAACATTTCAAAGCTAACAAATCTTGTTTTGTTTTTGGTTGACATGCTAACTGATTGTCATTTGCATATGTTACTTCTGTTGTTGATAGCATTTTTCTGCGAAGCTCCCTACCCCATAGCCAAATCTAGATTCCAGCATGTGAATCACTGGGGGTTTTGACCATTCTTTTTTTTCTTTCACAAATCACATTTAGAATGTAGTCAGTCTAGAATGAAGAGCTTTAACTTAGGCTGAATCTCATTTCCTCTTGTCTTAGGCTGAATCTCATTTCCTCTTGTCGGAGGCCTAGTTTGAATGTCCCAACCTGCAAATGTTTGGGACTGCAGGCCTGCAGCCCAGGATGCATAGAGGCTAATAGTATATTGTGTAAGCCCTTCTTGATCTATTCCCATAACACAATAACTACTTAAGATTGCTAACATAATAAGTTCTCCCTTTAGTGGAGTTATTTTCCTTTCACGGAGCTATCTTAATTCCTCCAATTTCAGGGCTTTTCTCTTCTTTCTTCAGGATTCCTCCCTCTCCCTTTGCGGTTTTCCTCATCCCTCATGATTAGTACTAATGAAATTGTCTGCATAACTTGATGTTTGTCACAGACCAATAAGAAAAGTCTTTTACAAATATATGAAAGGTTGAACAAAAGTTCATCTAAAAGATGGTATTGTTTTACTTCTACAAACTATATATTCTTGTTTTAAGCACTTCATTTTCTGAAGGCAACTCAACCTTACATGCTGTTGAATATTTTCTCATTGAACTTAAAACCATATCTTTCAACTTGCGTACTCCCATTATACAGACTTATTGTGTTGATGCAGGGACCTGAAATCCGTACTGGATTCCTAAAGGATGCGAAACCCATCCACCTTAAAAAGGGTCAAGAAATTACTATCAGCACTGATTATAACATCAAGGGTGATGAGGACATGATCGCAATGAGCTATAAGAAACTCCCAGTCCATCTGAAACCTGGGAACACCATATTGTGTGCTGATGGTACCATAACCCTGACTGTGCTTTCCTGTGATCCAAGCGCTGGAACCGTGAGGTGCCGCTGCCAGAACAATTCACTATTGGGTGAGAGGAAGAATGTCAATCTTCCGGGAGTTGTAGTGGATCTCCCAACACTTACCGATAAGGATAAAGAAGACATCTTGCAATGGGGGGTTCCGAACAATATTGATATGATTGCTCTATCATTTGTTCGGAAAGGGTCTGATCTTGTTAATGTGCGAAATGTTCTTGGATCTCATGCGAAGCGAATACAATTGATGTCAAAGGTACATTCAAGTTCTGGATCTTGTTTCATAATTTGATTTTTGGTGTTCTTATTCTCTAAAATCATTATTTTCAGTTATACTACTGTGGATTTCAAAATTAGACATGCATGTTTTTAACTTTGGCACGGTTTTTTGAAAGGTTGTATTGCATTATAGTCGTTGTTAGTCCTTAGAATTTTGCTTTTAATGTCAGGCTAGTTTTATCAAACTGGGAATATAATGATCTATTTATTTTTATTTTTAAAACATTTGAGTTGTGAAAACAGATGCTTCAAATCTGATGCTAATAGGAAATCCTATTATGTAGCAATTCCAAAATTATGCTGGAATAACTTGATGTTTATTTAAATGATAAATATCTTGCAAACTTACAAATTGAATCATATTTATTTCACTGCTTTGCTGCGGCAGTTACAACTTACAAATTATAGATTTGTGAAATTTGAGAATTGTTCATATTATGATATGAACTTTTCGGTCAAAACTTTGACCGCGAGGATTTTGACACGCTTGTTGAGTTAAAACCAGTATTAAAAGGGATAAAGTTGACAGCAGCCGCTACTTTGCTTTTTGGCTGCTTATTCTTCTTGATAAAATCAGAGATGTACCTTATATGGCCGATAACAATATATACATCTACCATATTTAAGAACTTTTGACTGTCTGAGTGGTTGTATATTGAACATGTAAACCAACCACGAAAACTAAGACGACGAAGTACATCTCTCTTCATCATGCGTGGTTGTTGCAAGAGCTCTCTGATTTTCCAGCTCTTTATAACCTCCATTAAGAATTACGAAATGTCAAAGTGTTCCTTTGAATGCACCAGAAAGTCGTACCTTTGTCCATCGGAAATTGGCATCATATCCTGTGAGAACTTGAAATTGTGTGGACATTGAGAACATCACAAGGAGTAGTGAACATACTTTAAGAGAACGTGGAATAAATCTGTCAGATTTTATATAGAAATCAAGTGGATGGATGTATGGCGTGCAAAAGAAAAGCAAAAGCTTTTTCGTCCCCTTACCAAAATAAATATCTAGATTTTTCACTCCCAACAAATATTTTTACCAATGCATTAACTTGGGATTTTTCTTCCTCCTAACAATGGTAGAGAACGGCATGCATGCCAACTTCAACCTCTCACAATATATTTCTTACTTTTATGTAGACTTATAGGCAGTTGAATTGAGCTTAGACGGAGTCACTGGAATTTAGGTAGAAGAAGATGTGCATAAGTAATCTCAGAGTGGAAAATATGAAAGACAACTGATTTTTAAAGAATACATGTTCAAATTTGTTCTAATCTCCATTTCTTTATAGGTTGAGAACCAAGAAGGTGTTATAAACTTCGACGAAATCCTAAAAGAAACCGACTCCTTCATGGTAGCTCGTGGCGATCTCGGCATGGAAATTCCAGTTGAAAAAATCTTCCTTGCCCAAAAGATGATGATCTACAAATGCAACCTTGCAGGCAAACCCGTTGTTACTGCCACTCAAATGCTTGAATCCATGATCAAATCCCCTCGCCCGACCCGAGCAGAGGCCACTGACGTAGCAAACGCTGTCATCGACGGTACCGACTGTGTCATGCTCAGCGATCGTGGTGTTGACTCGTGGAGGGACAACAGCAAAATTAGTAGCTAAGTATCGGCCGGCAGTGCCGGTGCTGTCAGTGGTGGTGCCGGTGATGACGACGGATTTTTTTGAGTGGATGGTGAGTGATGAGACGCCTGCGAGGCATAGTTTGGTTTATAGAGGGTTGATACCATTGTTGGCGGAGGGGTCGGCAAAGGCGACGGATTCGGAATCAACGGAGGTGATATTGCAGGCAGCGCTCAGGACGGCTGTGGATAAGAAGCTGGTTAAGGTGGGTGATGCGGTGGTTGCCCTGCATCGGATTGGTGCTGCCTCTGTTATTAAGATCTGCATTGTGAAGTGAGAGACTTGATCACAGGAGAACGTTGTGTTTCTGTTTTACTGTTTTTTTTCCCATGTGTTCCTCAATGCTATCTGTGTTCTGTAAGATTGACAGTCTTCAACAGCGAGTTTGATGGTTGAGGTGGGGCTTGTATGCTTGAAATTGGGTAGAAATCTCCTTTCTTGTGGAATCTTGTATTACTTTGCTGCAATTAATAAAATATTTTTTTACCTCTTCATATTTTTCTTTTCTTCTCTTTGCTTGATAATTAATATGAAAATGAAGATTAAGATGAAGATTTGCCTTCATTAAGAGGCTAGAGCCCTCTTAGAATGTAAATTTTCATCTTTTTATTTTTTATAATATTTTTTTTCTTGCTTTAAATATTTAATGGGCTAGAACCCTCTTGAATTGGATTTATTTTCATGCATTGTAGAGTAGATTTAATTTCATGTCTTTATTTTCTTGCAATTATTTTATAGTATAGATTTATTTACTGCATACTTTAGATTTTATTTTTTTGCACTAGTTGCCAAGAGGCTAGAACCCTCTTGGGAATTAGTTTTTATTTTTGTTCATTCTTTTTCTTTCATTCTCCCACTTAAAGACTAGAACCCCTCTTTGGAGTAAGTTTTTATTTTTATTCTCTCACTGTGAGGCTAGAATCCTCTTTGGAGTTAGTTTTTATTTTTATTCTCACTTTTTTTTATTTTTATTTTCTAAGATGTGGAACTAACTCTTGTAGGAATTTTAGAATTGCATGAAACTAGTTTAATTTCTTTCATGAATTGTGAAGTACTCTCTTGTGCTTAAAATGATCATGTTTAAGATAATCAATTAGATAACTAATTGGTAGAAGGAATTTTAGAATTACTATCTAGTTGTTATTCTTTTCATAAATGTTAATTTTACTTAGATGATAATTTGATAGGTTATACTTTTTTTAAGTGGTTTGATAGTCTATGCTTAATAAATCTAAAGAAAATATGATAAAAAGAGAATGGTTCATACTTTATAATTGAAATTGACTAGTGGATTTAATTCTATATTCCTCATATCTTTAATTGAATTCTCCATCTTTTGCTTTCTTGATTTTTCTCTTTATTTTTTATTTTTCTTTATTTGATTCTTTATTTTATTTTTCTTCTATTTCTTCAACTTTCTTCCTCCACTCTCACTCTAGTTTTATTTTTATTTGCATGTATTCACAATCACTCTCCTCATATTTCTCCACAATCACACATTTACCACTCCTAATTTTCACACACACAACTTAAGAACGAATTTTGATTAATTCCTGCAACACCTTCCTCGTGGGATTCTATATTTTTCTATATTATAATTTATTATGCACTTGCAATCTCGACATATTCACAAACACCACATCATCAGGAACCACCAAACATGTAGATAATCAACACTAAGTAGTTAAGTCAAATACAAGAAACAAAAACCACTTAGGTTCAAAACCACGAGTGCTTCAAAACCATATGCAAAACCAGCAAAAAAGTTAATGATGCAAATAAATATTTTCAAATTCAACATCTAACGCCAACTAAAGTATCAATCCATATACATCTGTAAAACATATTGTTTGTATACCAAATGCTAACCAAGAAAAAATATGAGTAAGAAAAGTAGAGATATCAGTAAAACTTCATCTGCACCATCATCAAAGGTGAGTGTATTCAAAACTTTTATGATAAAGAATAGAGCTATTTATTTAATGCCAATTTACTATGTTTTTTATCTCAGGATTGAAGGATTGCTAAACTTAAACATCCAACCACCTTTGAAGAATGGATTGCCTATGCAGATACAGATCGAGAGCAAGATGAGATGTGAGATATCATAGAATTAGCAAAAAATATGCTAAGAGCTAATGCTATAAAAGTTAGAGACCAAAACAGGAGTTGGAAGTATCCCTACTACAAGGATATGCCCAACACGAACTAAAAAAAATGATCTCCTAACATACGCACATGAAGTTGGTTTTAATAAAATTATAGACAATCTAAGTAAGGATTTTAATAGGGAGCATCGTGGACTAGAAATCTATTTACAATCGCTAATATGAAAGCAATGACATGTACTACTTTGCTATTATCGTGTACTACTTTGCTATTTTATACATGTTTAGATTTGAATGAACTTTATGACTAAAAAATTATTTGAAAGCATCTATTTTTGGTATCACATAAAATATATTAGCCATATGTATATAAAATTTATGGCTGATGGCTCAAAACTTAGTCAATAGCATCATTGTTAGCTATTCACTGCAATATCAATAAATATTGCAGGTAGCTAATCTCAAAATATTTGACAATCATCATAGCGTAAAAGTAAATAGGTCACAAACTAAAACTCATGAAATGACAATCGAATACCTTAATAACCCCCAGTAGTAGCCATCCAATATAATGTAGGTACATTGTAGGTTGATCGCATACAAAATTTATTCAGTTGTCATGTATATGGTGACTTATAAAGTTCCTGCAAGTATAAATTAAATGTAAAATTAGTATTCTACAATATTCACATAAAGTTGGTAAGTATTCATATGAAACCATATGCTCAAAGTGCAAGCACAACTAAAAGTAAAGGCATATATATAATTACTACCGATTACAATAATATGTTTCATCATCATAATGTTCCATAACCCTAAAATATAACATCAACATATTGTTCAAAATCAAATGTTGTTTTTCTAAATTAAGTAAAACTAGTCTTCCCATCAAAAGTAAGTGGATTTAACAAATATGTTAGATGTGAGAATCACAAAATACCACATGAACCCATATTCATATTGTTCTTCAACCCTCATTGTTGAGAAAGACATTAATCATCTCTTTTTGACTAATCGGAGATATACCCATAAAAAGTCTTGATTCATTCTCATTCAAAAAACGATGACAGTAGTATGCATCTAGCTTATCAACACTAAAGTCTTGTAAATGAGCATGTAGGACGTAGGATAACTTCTCATTCCAATACACATTTACACATATTTGCCAAATACATCTAGCTTACCCAACATTTGTTGCATGAGCTTATTATCTACCTTGGTCCTACGAACCTTTCCCTTGGGAGCACATGACTTTGCCTTAGAAGTTGATGAGGCGGGTGCTTCCCTAGGCGGAGGAGTGTCCTCATCATCCAAAGTGTACACTTGAGGGGATTGAGAGGTAGGCAAAGGCGAGTCAATATCATCTTCAAGATTTAAGGACTTGCTATGACTGAACCTTTTCCAAGTATCGTTAGCAAAATCCTTTCTACTTTGGTCATCCTCGATGATGAGTGCAAGATCATCATAATCAACCAATGGTTTATTGACATATTCTCTAAGCTTAGCATTAATAATTCTCTTGTTCCTGAAAAGTATATGTGAATTAATTTAATAAAAATGAGAGAATGAGAAAATTAGACAATGAAAATGCAACAAAGGCTTATTTACCTAAATCCACCTATCCAAACACTTAAGATCCATGATGACAGTCTTGGTGCCATCATCCCATCCGACACCACTAATATTATAACAAGTTTCCATGTCGGGGAATTTTGTACATAAAGTTTTAATTCGGTGCATGATGTTCCCCTACTTAAATATAATCATCGTGTTAATATGTGTGGAAGCCATATTATAATCGGTTCTCTTAAAGCTTTTGTCTTGTTTGTAACCTTTACCAAGTCAGCAAGAAATAGAATGGGCTCATCGTTATAATGAGAATCCCAAAACAAATGCTTGTTCCCTTGAGAACCGCCGGCCTCACTATTTTTTTTCTATGTTGCCTCTTCTTCTTTGGATTTGGTGGGGTTGCTTCCCCTTCTTCTATGAGCACCCTTTTGGAACCTGATTTTGGGTGTTGAGCCATAATCACTAGCGGGAGATAGTTACAACCCACCAATATTAGGGCTATGAAATTGATGAGGCAAAATAGGAGAACTTAACATATTCATAAATGGTCCCGACTGGTGGTGCATCTGCATGTAATTGCCATCATAACATGTCATGTTAGGAAATGCATGAGGGGTTTGTCCAAAGTAGGACTGCTGAAATGGAAAATACTCACTACTGCCTTGATTCATAGACTCAAGAATTTGAGATGGTGGAGTGAGATGGAACTACACCCTTGCCTTTGTAATTATCTCTCGCACTTAATGATGTGTTATCAGCCATTACTAATTTAATAGAGAGTGTTAGATACAATATAATTTTTAAAATAAGCAAAGCATGAATTAAAAGCAAAACATAATAAACGAAAAAAGCAAAAGTTAGAGTTGAAGAGTTCGTAAATGATTATAAGTAGTACAACAAATATGAAAAATAAAACATAGAGTTAAAGAGTGCATAAATGATTATAAATAGTATAACAAATATGAAAATTAACTATCAGTGGTTACACCATAATTATAGTTATCACAATATTCAACACATATTGCCTAAGCAATGTCATCTCTAAGAGTCTTTCGCTCATTTCTTGATTGAGTTTGTTCTCCTTGGATTTGAGTTTGTGTGAAATTAACTAAATTATTACTATTCTCATTTGCTACCTCACCATCAATATCTTCATTAAGATCGGGCTCGGTGAGTAATTCGACATTTGGATCAATAGTTGCAATGAAATTATGACGAGCAAACAACGCCTCCGGAAGGGCCCGAGTCGGATGAGATGGCGGATGTGTATAGTAAGTTCTGGCCATTCCGTAATGGGCTCAATGAGCTTACTCACCGGTCCTGGGAGAGGGCGATAACCTTATTGGTGGGAGATCCATTGACCCCCGGCTCTCCTAGGGAAGAGTTTCCCGAAGGCAACGGTTTGTCCCGGAGGAACCCATGGATGTGGAGTCCTCGGTCATCAGTCTTTAACTGCTTCGATCAACACGATGTCCAAGTTTACCCTCCCGAAGGACAAAAGGCTCTTAAGGGAGATACCAAGCGTTGGTGTGCATTTGGCTCTCAAGGCATATTTGGTTCGAGGGGCTTTACAGGAGCAAGAGTTGTTCGACCGGATGAGGCACATGCATGAGGTGACACAAAGGTGGCACGCCGAGCTGGCTCAGAATAAGTCAGCCAAGGAAGAGGCAGAGAAGAGGATTACTGCCTTGGAATATGTTCAGCTGATAATCATATTTTATTATAATTTTATACTCTCATTATCTATTTTATATGAATAAATATGCCTCTAATAATTGTTTTTATCTTTAAATGTAGGTTGATGAAGAATAAATCTC